GGGGTGGGGGTGGGGGGTAGATAAAACTACATTAATGAAAATCCCAAAGCAGCCAGGAAATGAGATAAATATTAAAAAGCAAAAACAAACAACTGAACAGCTCAACTACAAGTAGCCAGATTTTTGGGGGTTTATTGCTGACTTGAATGATCTCTCTACAACTGTTCAGGGAAGGCAGCTCTTGAAATTGCAATTGCTTCTCTTCCCCAAGCGAGCTGAGAGCACACGAATTTTCAGCCTGCACATGAAAGCAGTTTCACCAACATGAACAAAATATATACATTCTCAGCCACACACGCTCAGACACAGCCACAGCTTGATGCTGCAGCTAACACTGAGCATTCCACGCCTGGAAGCTGGGTCAATGTATGGCTTCTGACGTGCGTCACACTGTTGTTCATCATATCTGGTCTGCGTTTCCTCAGCCCTAATCTGGGCGTTGGAGTGCAGCCGGCAGCTCCAGAAGCAGGCAGCCTCCGCGCTGGGAGGCTGGCCCAGCACCACTGCTGCCCTTCGCTTGAGCAAATAGTTTTCCAGGCTGCCCGCTTCAGTGGGGCTGCACGCTGCCTGCCAGGCAACACGCTGCCCTGACACTGGTCACAGTACACACCTCATGGCCTGACCTCCTTTCCCTGCTAATTGCATTACACAGCCAGCTGGCTCCAGAGAGGAGTCGTCTGTTTGACTGAAGAATTTCTGCTTTTGGGGAGGCACGGCTGCTACTTTTGCTAAGTAACAGTCAGGCCTGACATCCCCATTGTCTGGCTGACAGTGTACCCATCCTAAAATCTAAGTTTTATTTGTAAATTAACCAAGAAACTTCCTGCCAGAACAGTGCTGCCTGGAGACTGATAATGTGTGCCTTTCATTCCCTTTCACTCTTACTGTATCACTGCCAATTTGTTTTTCTGCTGCTCGCCAGCCCTAGGCTATAAAAGCCTTGTAAGACATAAGTGCAATTATAGTCCTGGAGTCAAATGAATTGGACAAATCCAATAGCACAGCTCTGTCCCCACTTTGCAAACCCCTACAGCAGTTAGATTAGCCGCTAAAAATCTAATCTAGCTCTAGCTAACAAATTTCTGCAGCGAAGGAGCAAGAGTTCAGTATGGGGTTGCAACCAGATTTCTGAATTGAAAAAGTTCTGCTATGACAATAGAGAAGATAGAATAAATCACTTAAAAATTTTGCAGCTCATTTTGAAACCGTTAGGTACAATTTAGGTGGAACAAGACAGGGGACGGTAGGATGCTGTTACTATGATTGATTTTCATTCTTGACACAAGACAGCAGATAAAAAAAAGTTTAGAACCAATGATGCTGAACCTTACAGCAGCAAAAGATACCAACTGAATTTTGATTATTCCACTACAAGATGATTTCTTTCAGGCCTAAGACTTATTTGGAGAGGATTTTTTTCTTTCTTTTTTTTTTTCCTCCCAAATAAGCAATATAGTATGTCAGCATATATGTCAAACAGAGGAATACAAACTGCAAATTACAACTGTACTGCAGAAAAATAAGGGGCCAAGTTCGTCCTCAGTGAAAGCGCACTTATTCTTGTGAATTTATACCAGAAATGAATTTGTCCTCTTGTGTTCAGTAAAAATAAAGAACCATAATAACATATTTAAGTAAAATTACTGCATCTGCTTAATTCCCCAGCCCACAGAATTTATGGCCTGCTGTACTACTTCCTTGGCCAGCAGGTGGTAAGACCTTCTGTTCAACTCCGGAGCTTGCAAGCCAAACACACTGATTGGTATTGAATTCTTTTTGCCTGTCTGTAGGCAAAATAAGGAGAGAAGAAATCACAGAAATTACAAAGATTTCAGAGATAAGGCAGACCAGACATCCCAAGTAGTATCAATGCAATCCTATCTGATGGAAGCAGGGGGAAGGCAAGGAAAAAAGTTGTGGCCCCCACTGTATTCTGATTGATAACAATTTCTCTTCCCAGTAGTATCATCCTCTAACACCATATATGATTCTAGTGCAGCAAACATTAAAATGGAGCAGTTACTGAATGACAACATCGCAATGTGCATTCCTCTCCTGCACTGCTATGAAAAATAAGCATTAATATAAAGAAGTAATAAATATAAAATAAACTTTTTTAACATGGACATACCGCCCCAATAAGCTGAAGTGAGGACTTAAACCCAGCATGTACTAACTGCTCAGTGAGCAAGTGGAAGTATTAAAATACTTGTGGTGATCTTAAGAGTTGCCACGATCTTTGAAGCAACACAGTGCATTTGATCACAAATGTTAACCAGGTGTTGCAGAATTCATAAGCACAGTATTGGCAGGTGGGGGAAAATAAATACATTTTCCTCTTGTTTAAGAATGTGTTGCAGGCAGGCACGTGTTTCTTTTCCAGCATGCAGACCAGTTATGGTCTGCACGTGCAAAGGCTGCCAAAATCAACACAGGACTTGTGCAGCCTGAGGAACTTTGCTGCCAAAGCACCAATGTACTTGCCTTTCTGCATACTGGCTCCACAGCTAAGGCGCACAGTGAAACTGCAAGAAATTGACACTTTTAAAGTTATAAGAGTTCTTGCACCATGTTTAATACTGTCTTTAGAAATGGTGTGGATATGAACTTACGCTCAAAACATTGGTTTCAAATGCAGGCTAGTTCATCCATAAGCATTTTCAAAGAATTAAAGAACTATCAATCCTCCAGAAATTTTACAGTGCCTCCACTCTTAGCTACAGTTTTGTAAAATTTGTGAAGTCTATGCTAATTTGCACAGAAATATATGCTTGCTTACAAAAGAGCTGTGACAAATTAAATGAAACTGTTCTGTACAGAAGCACAGAACCATGGAAGATTATATGTTAAAAAAGACCTCTGGAAGTCATCTGGTCCAACCCACTGCTTACAGCAGAGCCAGCTCCCTAGGTCCATTAGGTTGCTCAGAGCTTTGTCTTTCTTTACAGGAATACACAGTTTGATCCCTGCAGGGTTCCATTCCTATAGCAGATTTAAGTTGGTTTTTTTTTTAAAGTCTTAAAGCAATCACTTTGCAGTATTTTCTGCAGATAATATGTACTGGCGCTGGCCTTGTTTTCTAGCACTTCAAGACTTGTAGGCTGGCAACTACTAAATGCTTTTGCTTTTTCTTCCTCACAAAGAAGAAATTCTCTTAAAGCAAACATAGGGAAGACAATTAAATAGAATAAGCAGACTCTCTTAATGTCTGTGTTAATCCCTAATGCGGGTGGGAATTAAGGGAATTACTACAATAGACTACTTGCAATTAAAACCTATTTTTCTCCTTGTGGCAGCTCTATCAGACTCTCCTTACTCAACAGCTAGATGATATTTCACTGCTTTTGCTAGACTTCCATAAAACTCAGGAGCTAAGACTACACAACCACAATTTGTGTAGGAAAAATAAGACTCGGAAAGACATGGTAGCAGTTCTCAGACATGAGTAAGTCTGCTGCAAAATGATCTGTTCTCCATATCCATGTGGAGTGGGGTAAGAATAAGTGGGCTTAAATTGAAACAAAGTAGATGCTACAAGTAATTTTTTCATGGTACAAGAAGTGGACCGTAGGAATACATTGCCTAGGGAAACTGTAAAGCATTCATCACTGGGGTTTTTAACCAGCAGGTAGATAAATACTGGCCAGGAACAAGAGAAATACAGATAGTCCTACTTGGTAAAGGGATAGAGACTAGACAGCCTCTTAATATGTACCACAGCCATATTCCTTTATCCTCAAGTACTCAGATAACATTTTTTTCCACAGCCATGTAAATCCATAAATCCAATATGAAGATAATGAGTTGCATACATGAAGAGAAACACGTAATTTTGTTGACTTTTTTTTTTTTTAATGACAGGTATCACAATAAAAAAAAGATCTAGCTTTACTATTAAATGCTGGTCAAGTTTTCAGGACTGGTACTCAGCAATTCCACCTTTTTATTTCAAGGCAAAGCACATGTTATTTTGAAACTAATGGGACAATAGATACAATCACCCGGTGACAAATTTATAGATAAATTTCAGAGCACAATAGTATCACATGGTAGACCGGATGGTTGTAGTAGCATTATTAACACACATTAACAACCTATGTAGGACAAGTTGCCAATTCTAATTAAAAAGGCAAAGATTTGGTACGCACCTATAATCTTCTTTGACTTTAAGCAGCAGTTGACAAGCACCATAATCTCAAATCACTCCTTTTTAGGAAAGGCAGATGATTAAGTACTGATACCAACAAAATTTTGGTCTGGGTTCTGGCCATCTTTGAAGCAGAGTCTGCTTGTCAGAATTGTGAATAACTGGATAATGGCTTTAAATATCAGCTGGCTCCTTTTGGTACTATGCTTGTCACTTCTCTTTGATTTCGTTTCTTTTCTGCTACATGCTGGACAATTCATCTGTAAGGTTTTATTATGCTGCATTTGGTTGTTTTGTTCTACCAAACTACAACAGTTTTGGCAGGCAGACAACATACAAATGAAATTATTGCTAATATTATTACTAATGGTGGTATTCGAGGCTACCATGGAAATGTGTTTCAGAATCCAGAATTTGGATGTCATTTAATTCAGATAATCTAGCTGCAGAGCACCATGTGGCACAGCAAAGATGGCCTGCTAGGACTAGTTAGCACAATCTGTTTTCAGTTTAAACTTTAATTTAAGAACTTGAAGACTACAGACAACATTTTGAAATACACAGCAAATTATTTACCTTTTTGGTCAGTGAATCATCTGAATCTGATGGCATTCTTGTAGACACATGAAAAATTATTTCCACAGTAGAGGTGGCATAATAAGGTGCCGTTTGCCCTGTGCTGCCATTGCGCTGCAGGCCGCCCATAAAACCACCATGTGTTGAAAGATCAACCTGATTGAAAGTCATAATTAGAAGAAATTTTAAAAGACTGATGAATATTCAGTATTAATTTATATATCAAGACTTGGTGAACTTAGCACTCCAGGACTCTGTAGCCATCCCAGATAAAGAGAAGCCTTCCCCTACAGGTTTGTGATCTTTGTGTTAGATCTGTCTGTTTCCCACTCCTGTACTTGACGCTTACTAAAAATAAACATCTCAACTAGGTACTGAGTGGTCATCTATGTGGCTATTTTACCTTCTTTCCAGCAAACAGCAAGGAAGCAGAATTATTCTGTCACGTGCAGCTGCTCTATGGGCTATGCATGGCTTAGCCAGCCCACTCAGAGCATACACCCTTAAGAAACATAAAGTGCAGAGAAAATATAAACAATCATAAAAACTACAAAAATTGAAGATTTGTACAAAAAGAAAAACCTTAGAAGAAATTATTCTAGAAGACTATTCAGATGCCTCTCTGAAGACAAGCCTGTGTCCAAAACCTTGTTTGTTTTCCCAACTGCACCAGTCTGAGGATGCTGCCTCTCCCTGTACACCTTGTGCACTTAAATCCTTAAACATGAAATACAGCTATCATATATTTCCAAAAAACATGAAAGTTCGTGCCATTTATGCTACTGACACACCATTTCAACAATGCAAACTAAAACCAAACATTTTTGTCCTTTGTGAAGCAGTCCTGTGGTTGGGTAAGTGGTCTGACTATGTGAAGAGCTAAAAAGAGCTAGAATTAAAGTAAAATTATGCTATGGCTCTTAATGATGGAGAAAGCAAAAATGTCCACTGCAGCACCACCTGTCCATCAGAAGCAGTAAGGATGAGTTAATCCAGAAGTATCATGTTGATTTATGGAATTGTCCTAAAAAAGCGATCTTTTAAGTATCACTAAATATTAGTGTGCATTAAAATTTATGGGTTTTTTTGTTTGGGTTTTTTTTTTTGAGAATTAAAAAAGATGCAGTGATATAAGCAGCTTGTTTTTCATTTACCTATTTTAACCAGCTTACACTGATTTTCATAGGTCTTCAGATCAATTATGTTAGCTTGCCTAAATTTGTGACTATTACCTCCCAGCCCAGTCCAGCAACAAAATCTTCGTACGCCTGGCTTCCCCTTGCATTGGACAGTATTGAACATTTGTCCTCCTGTCCTTCCGCAATGTAAAACACTGCAATCTTGTGAGTTTCACGGCTATAATTAAATATAAAAGAAACAAAAGTTAAAGAAGTTTTAGCTTAAAATTTTTTAGATCACCTGCAGTCAAAAGGTATGAACAGGTGACCATGTTCAACTCTACATGTCCACTTTTACACACACAAATACATCACTCAGTTTCAGTAGCAGAAATACATTTTCACCAATTTTTTTTTTTTTTTTGCCATGACCACACTGCAGAGACACCACAGTTCAGAGAGCAGACACATCTATTCCTTCCTTGCATCAGCAAAAGAATTGATGATGAAGTTCAGTTACAGGGCTAATCACTTATATCTGTGCAACCTTGCCAAAGACAGTTAAGATTGCACAGGCGTTAATGGGAGCATAATTTGACCTACAAAATTTTAATTATAGGGTGATGATATATGAGAAAGAAAAAACATTATTGACTTTCAGATCCTGGATTGAGTTTTACAAGAATGACAGTGACAGTTGGCTTCTTTGAAAACAAGCTGAGTGGATGTGGTACAAAAAAAGTTAGGATGTGGGAAAATCAGAACTCTGCAATGAGGCAGACATTTTTCAGATAGTTATATGTCCAGTAATGCAAATAAAACTTAGTACTCAGAACTCTATTCTGTCACTACCTGGCTGTAAAGAAGTTGTATGGAGACTATCCCTTAAAATACTGCTCTTGACACAGAGATCGTCCTGAAGAAAATAGTCCTTTGTGTGAGCTGAGCCAAAGTCACAAAAAATTTTTGAATCTCTTCCCTCTCAGCTAAAGAAAATAGGAAAAAGGCTGTTGTGTCTTATAATTTGCTACTGATTTTGAATTCTACGTATATAGTGCCAGTGAAAATTGCTTGTTCATTCAGGCTCCAGAACATGTTAGAAACAAGCGATCCCTTTTCCATACATATCTTTGTATTGCTAGCACATGCATTTTTAATTAATTTTTGGTTTTAGTGATGTACATATTCTTTCTTTAGAAACGCTAACCTTATCAATGGTGTGTTTAGTAAACATTACCTACCATTGGCGGGAATCCAGATTTTTCAGTTCTCGCAGTAATTTTGAATTTTTCTTAAGAAGATGAAAGCTTTTTCTATAAATATTTTAAAAAAAGGATTTGAAGGAAAATTAAACAAAGTACAGATGCAGTATTTTCTCATTCAAACACCCACAAGAAGGGAATCAAATCAGCATAATTCAAATGATGATATTATTATTATTATTATTATTATTATAAACAATCTGCAGATGTCTATTTAAAATAATCACTGAAGCGGGTATCTCTAAAAGTTCAAAAGTATGCTCTGACTACCACCCAGCTATACAATTCTTGCTTTCTTAAGTGTATACACATTTGGGGGTAGAAGTGAGAAGAGGAAGAGTACTGTACATGTTCTGAATCCTGTCTTCTTACCTTCTATCCCAGGAGTTCATTCCCAGGTCATTTAGCAACAGTCGACAGAAATAAAAAGATGCTTGAGGTTCAGCAGGACGTGGTTCTTCTTGACGGGCCACCTTCATATTGAAGTCTGAGCTGCATTTAAATATATGCTCTTTTTCATGAGCACTCTGCCTCATCAGGGCTTCAGTGATCGCATTTTCTTGATCGTAGCTCATACCAAAGGGTGGGGGTGATGGCTCATTCAGCTTTCGCTGCGGATGTAAAAGGCATTCAGGACTGGTGTTACCAATCTTTTCCAGCAATTGGTCAAGAGCATCTTCTCCTTCTTCCACCTGAGAAATGTCCTTCTGGGAAATGACATGGTGCTCAGTGTTGCCTGAGATCACAAATGCATTTGCTGTGCTCTGCCGTGGAAGACAGCCCTCCAAAGGTCCATACAATATTCTACCATCCCAAGAGTACTTCCCTGAGATATCCCTGACAATTACCCTTACATCTGAGGGGGGTGCTGCTGGCTCAGTGTCTGTCGTCTTCTCTGCAGGGATTTGGAGGTAAGATATGAGAGTACTGTCATTAAACACAAAGAGCTGCAGGTTGGGACTCCGGAATACTTCCGAGGACAGCTCGGAGGACTCCACATAGGAGTTGTCGTGGTTCTCACTGAGGAGACTGTGGAGAATGGCAGGGCCTCCACTGAGGGGGTAGTGGCTCAGGTGATTCACCAAGTGAGTCATAACCATCCGCGCTGTTAAAGGTATCAATTCTAAATTCCTCCTCCTTTTTTCTAAAACAATCAGTAAAAGGTAATAGATCAGTAAGAGCAGCAAGAGGTAATAAAAAAAGAGCATCTACAAATTTATGTTATATTTCAGAAGCTTGCCTTAGATGCCCTCCTAATCCTTTCTGTTCTAGAAACTATTTACAATCACTTTCCAAAAAAATTCTACTGTTTTTATTTTGTTTTACCACATGCCCTTTGACATTTAGCCTACTGTGATTTCCAGGTCTCCATACAATAAGCAAAAAGTCCTGCACACTATTCCCATACTGCTTGCTGTCACTGTGGTTATAACTGGCAGGTTAAGGTGTTTCTCCTTACCGCCTGTACTCCCACAGTCATTCCCACAGCAACTGTAGCAAAAGAGGGACAAGGCACAAGAAGCAAAAGGTAAACCAAGTTGCAACTGAAAAACCAATGCTTCTTGATCTTTAGCAGCATGATGGTAAGTTTGTTGTATTGAGGCAGACAGGGGACCTTCTGGATCCCAAGATGTTTCCCTCAGTGCAGACAAATACATCAGTTATTTCATAAACTGACTGTGCTCTGACTTATGTTGTGTCCCCACTTCTCCTACTGGAATGTTACTCCAGAATATTACCTCTTTTATAGCCAGAAACCTTCTAATTTCCAAGTTTTGTTCATATTCAGTTTAAACCTGTTTTTCTTTAGTTTATAGTGTTTTCCTCTTTCCTTGGCATTTATACCTTTTAATGCACTTTTAAACAAAGGTATATCCCTGTTCGGCCTTTTGCTAGTCCCCAAAAGCCAAAATTCTTGACCCTCTCATGAAAAAGGCTCTTTATTCTTTTCCTGAATCCCCTACTAGTATATCTCCAAATTAATCTTTTTCAAAACCAAGGAAATAAAAGAACTTGTAGGGCACTAACATATACAAAATGGGAAACAACTCTTTCTACCTACAATGACAAATGTACCATGACACGTAACTTTATCTTTCTGCTATTCACAACATGTCTTGCTCAGTAAGAAATCTGTGTAGAATAGGTTTTTAACCTTTTTGTGAAAAATAAATGTACATAAACAAAACCCAAGCAAATAAGCGGTAGGACTGAAAAATAGTGTAGTATCAAAACCTGAAAATACTATTTTAAAGCATCACTGTCAATCCAACATTCTCTTGCACAACTTCATACTGCATCTGTACTTTTGATTGTTCTGTATAAATAAATACATTAATGCATATTAAGACATGAAATTACTTACAATTGACATAATTCAGTTGAGCAGTCATTATTTTAAAGGTTATTTCTTAAAAGTTTTTGAAATAAAGATGATCTCTATGATAAATCACTTAAATTGTTTCCTATGTTTTGATGCATACCTTTAAGTTGACTTTAAAAAGTTAGTAACAAAATGTACCTAGATTTAAATAATCTCTTTTCACTTTAGACATATGTAGATTGTGAAATCAGCAGGAATGGCATATTTATGTAGAATTTGGTCCAAATTGTACATGTGCTTCTCAAATCACTCAGAATAGGCAAATTATCTATGACAATGGAGTCATTTCTACTGAAAAGTTCAAGAGCAGCTGCACTCTTCTCAAAGTAGTTTGATTTGGGGGCCTATTTGTTGAATTCAATTCTAGAAACTAAATTATAAGTATTACCAGAGGCAAAATCAGCTTCTCAGTCTAACCTATCTCTGTACAAATTTCTCACTGTACAGGACCTGAGTGTCATTTTCTCTCTCCTGTGATCTTCATAAAAAGCAAATGTCAGCAACAAACTTGAACATTGTATTACAGAGGCAACTGAAATTCATCCAAAAAAGGGTACTGCTCAGTTTTCAAGGAATAGTTGCTATATGCAGTAAAGAGAAGCACATTTTCAAGGAAGAGATGTAACCTGGAAAGCTTTATTTGCTGAATGCTGACATGCTGGTTGTCACCACGCTCTATGAACTCTCTTACCCTCAGCAACAGTGAGCAGGTTGCCCAGATCCATGGAGGAGTGGCACTGGGCTGGCTCAGAGCTCTTGACATTCCCCAGTGGCAAAAATGGGTCATAATCACTGGACGACAGATCTGCCAGACTCAGCACGTAATGGCTTTGTTGAGTATATGTGCTGGAGCCATTCACACAACAGTGCAGAACCTGCAAGTAGAAAAGCATGACACTGAAGAAGTAATAATGTGTACATTGCAGTCCTCACTTTAAACACATTCAGTAAGAAGTGACCCACCATAATTTCTACATTGTGAAAGCCAGGACGTGCTACAAAATCCATCTACATCTAAACACAGTGGTTTTGAACTTTGTCTGCATTTATTCTGTACCTTAACAACTCACTTCAGGACTTATTTTGTATTTTAACAGCTCATTTCAAACAATTCTGCGAATAATTTCTGCAAAGATTATTTTCCTTGACTTGTTTTTTAAGCATTTTACCTTTCTCTCTTCAGCATCCTCTGTCTGTTCTACATCTTTCATCTTATTATTCTAACATTTTGCATTCTTAACTTCTCATCCATACAACTTCTGCCTACACTGTGAGAATTCATGATTTTCTACAGCTTGATAAAAATGCTTCTGTGCCTAACAGGATCTGTGAAAGGGATCTTTAAACATCTAGGCAAAATAAATCATGTTCATTCCTCGTACTCACTCTGTAAATATAGTCCAGTAAAGGAGCTTTGGATGCATGTTGATCTTCAAGACCACCAGCAGGCACTGGCTCCAGTAGCATTTTCATGGGTAATGCCATACACCAATCCAACAAGCAAAGTAGCAGTGAAACTATAAACTAAACAAAAACATGCACCACAGTATTTAAGTATATTCTATTAAATTCATCCAAAGTTAAAGCTATGAGTTTGCAAGTTTAAAATATGACTCTGGTTCAAAGCATCTTGATTTAATAACCATCGCGAACAGCACCAAGAAAGAATGAAGACTGATTTTTTCAGTGACGTACCTTTTTATCTGCCTCCACAGAGGAGTATTCAGCACTTGGCAAAAGAAATGCAATAGTGGCCACAAGGATCTAGATTAAAATAAACAAAATTCCAGAAATAGGTTTTATTTCTTTTGCTACAAAGAGCATGAACTTCATTTGAACAAGGTAAGAAAAAGGTTACATTGTCTCAGGATCATCTAACTGCCCTTGTAAATCAATGTCCAAATGAAACGAAAAGTTTTACTGAATTTTGGAAATAAATCACGACAAATGAGAGAAGTACACTGGTCCTAAAACTACAGCAAGTACATCTCTTAATAATTGCAGAGGAAAGAAAAAGTTAAGATGACGTCACAGTTACAGTAGCTCAATTAAGGAATTAAGACAATTTTGCATATAATTTCCATACAAACATAAAAAAGAAACTGACGTACTTCAGTAATTTTTCTGGATAGAGAGGATTCGTACTTCTGAAGCTTTTGCCAGTAAGAAACCAGCAGCTGAAGAACATCACAGGCTACCTGAGCTACCAGTTTATTAGAAAACTGGAAAAGAAAAGGTGAATAAAAGCCAAATAAAATATCCAGATACAATACAGTGCATGCAGTTTTTATATATTTTAAATTATTTCGGATCTATACAAACATTTTAAAATACTGATGTTGCAAAAATCACATTGTCAGCTTTAGGAAACAGCAGGCTTCACGTTATCTACACGATCTTAACTTGGTCTATTGTGGAAGGGGTCTTTAGGTACATAATCACATACTGTTTTTGCAAATATTGTGCACATTTGTATACCAGCTCGGCCCCACTGAACAACTATGCATATATTCTGAACTATGCTCACTGAAGATAGTGAGCTACTAATTATATGCAAAGGTTCAGAACTGGGAGACATCTTTTTGAAGATGGCTAATGTTGTATCACTAAACTGTGCAAAAAGTCCTAAGCAGTTGTGTGTTAGGAGCATCCTGTCAGTGCTTTAAGCAATGAAAAGACAAACCAGCGGACTGTGCTCTGTATAATCAGGAATTATTTTAAAAATTAAAATACCTTTTTTACACAATGCTTATTTATTACAGAGACTGTCATAGTAATACCTTCAGTGTCACACCTATGACATTGATTGCTTCCTTCACCTGGGGATGGTTCGTACACTGCATTAGTTCTTCACATATCCAAACTCCAAGGCCACAAATGGCTATGCATCTTTTACAAAAGAAAAAGTGCTTTTATCAGAAGTTTTAGAAGAATATTTAGGGGGTGTGGGGAAAAGAAAAAGAAAGACATGCACAAAGATGTAACCTCTATTTTCCCTCTCATACAACAGGTCAACTCCTTAATGGAGCAGAGTGGACCTCATCTTAATAGGGCTAAAGTGAAGAAGTCATCTAAAAAGGATCAAACCACAAGGCAATAGTAGCAACTCAGCTGTACAAGCACCAAAAATAACTAGTGAGAAAGACTTCCCCATTTTGCCATTCCTTTTACTCAATATTTTACCTTGCAGCTTCATTTGGTTCCTCTGTAGCATTCTTCAATAAAATATTTATGAGGTAACACTAAAATAATAAAATAAATTAGAATAAGCATCCTTTTTGTACATCTACTTTAAAGTTGTTTAATTTTGACATAGTTACAAGTGAAATCATTTTAATTCTCAGTCTATTCTTAAAGCATTTTTACCCCATGCCAATTTTGGTTTGTCAAGGGAAAAACACTTACTGATTACAACTCAAATATACAGGCCCTTGAGGATAAATCTAATTGACCTCAAAAATCATGTACATGCAGCAAGATGGAAATCAATTAGTTTTCAGAGTTGATGGGTATTTACTAACAATGAGTGGTGATCACTTGATGATATAAAGTATAGTGTTTAGGTTCTAAGCAAGTCATGTTATGAAAAACACAGTGCATTTTTCAGTACAGAAAAGACACTTTCAAAATCAAGACTGTTTTAACAGACTTCCAATGACTTTCCAAGACCTGATGAAGAAAGCAAGAATGGGAGCTAAGTGTGCTAAGGGGTCTGCATTCTCTCTAGTTCTACCTTCTCAGGCCACATGAGCAATTTGGAGATTTCTCCCCAGCTATACCTAATTTTATGCAGTGGATCATCCTGGTGTCTCAGATTTATCAAAAAGCGACGGAGGCTTGTGTGAGAGCAACCATTTGGGTAGGTTTCACCTGAAAGTCATGTTGCAGGTCACCTTTGTCAGGTCTTTGAGGAAGGGCATGCCTGATTTTTCCCCTACAAGATTACTGTTGTGAAGGTTATTAAATTACAAAGCTTTCCACCCCACAAAGAAATTCATGTCTCAAGGCATCTCACTGAAATTAATTCTCAGAGAAAAACCATTCACGGAAGATAATGATTCTAACAGTGGAATTTTCTTAACATATTACTCTAACACCAATAAGACAAAAAATATCTCACCTTATGCACACCCCACATGTCTTACAGGAGAAGCTAATAGACACAGATACAACAAACAGACACTTTAAATAATACCACCAACATCATTTAATGAATTGACCTGACAGAGATCTGGCTGGAAAACACCACATTTGATCATAGCCTGTTCAGTCTCCTTGAAAATAAAATGTAATTTGCAGTATCTAAGCTTTGCTAATTTTATGGTATATGTTAATCTAAGCACTGCTTATCAAATAAGTACATACAATGTGTGCAGTTGTGGGGTTTTGAGTAGAAGGTGTTTATTTTTTAAACAAAAACATAGTTAGAATGAAATGACTGAATAGTAAAAATCTTAAGGTACCTAAGGATTTACTAATGAAATGTGACTTTACCTTCACATCTGCAGTTCCCGCGATGATCTCACCGGCTTCTGAAATGGGCCGCAACAGTGGGATTTCTTGGTAGATATTTGGAAAGCAAACAAGAGAACCAAGGATGGTGTGAGCTTCTGAACGGGGAGCCTAGTGAATGAAAAGTAAACAACTATTCATAAAAACCCCAAACTTCATAAAGTTATGAAAATGACATAAGCTATGAGGCTAGTGTGTATCACCATAAATACTAAGTGTGCTGTATTCACAGTGCAACATTTGAAGTGTCCCAAAGAACATGTTCCAATAGCTTTTCCTTTACAGTTACAGTAGAAGCTGCATTAAGCAGTGACTAACTTGTCTGCCCATGCTTTTTGCTGCTGTGTTGCTCTGCTCTTTTTCTGAGGCCAAGCTTCTCCTCCAGCAGGGACCTGGCCCTGCTCCTAAGCATATTCTGCATTTTTAATACCTCCTCCATCATTACACAATCCAACTATCAGTAACTCAGTGTCAATAAAAAAATACAGAACCACCTAAAGAATAGATGAGAGTTTTAAGCACTAATCCAGCCCTACTATTAGCTGATCATGTGACACAAAGGACAGCACAATGCACTCAAACTGACTGTATACATGACAAAAATGCATAGACATTCCTGCTTCAATAAAACCATCAAAAGCAACATTGCGTGAGCTATAAATGCATTAACTACTGCTATATAATATTGTGCAATGTTGAAAACGTCATGCACACCAAGTTTTATGCTAGTAAGAAAAATGGAAGATGGTGCTGGTTTGTTTTGTTTGTTTGTTTTCCATGGAAAGCTGAGTATTAGTTTCTTATTAGCACTTTAAGCTCTGGATCAGTGACCAGGCTGATCAGATTTATTTTTTTTTTTAAGAGATGTCAGAAAATTAATAGCTATAATCTCTTTGAGGGTCAATGGAAAGAATATGGTTAGGCTCACCATTTCAGTTCTGCTGAAATACACGAGGGCTGTGTCCCTGTGCAGTGCCACCTGCTCAGCCACACGAGTGTCAAAAAAGCAAAACAGACAGAAAGGTCTCTCCTGAACTGGTGCTTCATGTACAACAAAGCTTTCCTGTTTTTCCCAAGATTGCCGGACCTTTACCCTTATTTTGGCATCCTGTCATTGATCTGCTATTTTACTCATCCTTCACTAATTTAATAATTTAGAGTCACATTTCTATTATGTTGATATTTAGTCACATTTCTATTATGTTGATATTTAGTAAGAAATTCTGTATTACCAAAAGAGTTTCCAATATTTGCTCACTGAAAAAAGCTAATGAGATTCTGAAAACCAAGTCCTGCTTTTAGCACATGGGTGTGCTGTAATATTAGGAAGGATACGATTTCTCATGCTTTGACCTTTTGATGAAACACCTTTGCAATACTAGTATGTCACCTTATCCCACAGTTTCACACATCAGCTGCCATGGTATCTGCCCCAAGAGCCCCACTTCGCATTGCGCTAATGAGTTAGAGTAGAGACATCCGAACCTCGTTAGCAAGCGCGCGCTCTCAGGGGACAAGGAGCTGGGCATTGCCATACTCACCTCCAGCATGTCTGTGCTCAGAACCCTGGCCGCTGCAGTAATGAAGTCTCCTATCAGCATCGTAAAGCCAGGTAAGCCCAGGAAGAAAAACCAAGGTGGGCAGTGCTTTATTACAGTATTTAAGATATCCTGAAAGAGAAGTTATGTGTTCAAGAATAAATAAGTAAAAAGATCCAAAAAGCCCAAAACCAAAGGGGACAGTTTGAGAACATTTAACTTCACAGTTCATCAGTTCCACACTTATCAAGGTGATAATTCACTGAGCCACACAAGCTCTATGACCATCACCTAACAATCACTACTTTCCGCTGCAGATGCATTTAGTAGGAAAAATGCACTTTGTGTTTTGGTAATATTTGTACTCTTAAATTCCTGTTTAAAAAACCCCAAACAAACAAACATCCATGTCCCTTGCTATCTAAGCATAACTGTTTTCCTGTTTGAATTCAAAAATCAGACTGTTAATCAACTGAAGATGAAGCATTACAACACACCTAATGAAGTATTTCCTAAAATCACATTACTCAAAATTCTGTAGCCATAAAACCCATGAGATGACATATATGACTGCCGCCTTTGCCCTGAAGGAGCTCAAGGCAGTAGCTGACAGCAGGGCAGCTTACTACTGTTAGGCTGCTCTAGCACTTATGGGATTTTTGAGCTGTTCTGAACTAGTCGAGAAATACAGCAATGCCAAATACAAGAAGTGATCATACGCAGCACAGCAACACAGATACATCTATGCTAACTAGATTTTAAGTCACCTTCTTCTAAATAATTAAAACAGCCAATATAGATAAGCCTTGGGAAAAGAAATTTTGCTGAACTTTTGAAGTAAGAGGGGTTTATTTGTCTTTAAGAGGTAGCACTGTATGTGCAAGAACAGACCACCAACTACAGCTTTACTCTTATCATTACCCTGTGACACAGAGCACATTCAAGATGAGCATGTCAACTTTAATCCTTCCATGTTTCAATTCTTCACTGTCTCTCCAAATCAGAGCAAAGTTCATGTATTTCAGTTAAGATTTCCTTCCTACAAGGTTTCAGCACGTTTAAAATTAGGTACAAAATCTATATAATCCTTACTTGCAACATTATATTTGCTGAAGAATTAGATAAAGCTATTTCTATATTGAGCAGAAAATTATTTTTCATCTCAATAAAATTCTAAAGAAAAGTTGCAAAGGAAAACCATTTTCAATGTCCATCTTTACTAGTTTTATGATGTGTTAAAGAAGGCTTGAACTTAAATTTAGTCCCAGAATGCATCCGTATGCTCAATTTCTAAATCAGAAACTATAGTTGTCAAACTTATTTTTATCTGTATGAAGATATGCTTTAACACCAACTAGTATTTCTTCAAAGCACTGCAACACACCTGGACAGAACCTATTTAGTGTTCTGCTAAGTATTTACAGCAGTAACTTGTAACTTCTTATGAAATAACTGTGTTATACATTTTAAATAAATAATATTAGTTTTTAACATAGTAGCAGATAATGCTTTCACTTTCCTGAATAAGCTAAAATGCCACTCGAGTTAATGTTTAAACTAGTTTTAATCACTTCCTTTGATACATTTTAAAGTCAATATAAGTCAACGCAAACATTCAAAAAGAGGGAGCAGATGGATGCAGCAGCTCATAAAGTGGGTGGTAAACTCACCCTCCGAGCATAACAAAAGACCCACCTTTTTATAATTAAGGGGCTGATTAATGCACCGGGCTCCTCACAACACAACGCACCTGTAATTACGAACAGAGCCAGGTACTGTGATGTGTTTGGTCTCTGAATAATTGGGCATCAAACTATAGAGCAGCAGATGGGAGTACACTTCTGTTGACATATGCCACAATAAAAAAGCCTGCACTAACCTGGCCTGAAAGGTAACAGAACATCGGAAGTACAAAGACCTGCTACAAACAACTGCGTTAACTCCTGTCCTCACTCCATCAATCCCATCTGTTAAATACCACTGTAACGATCATCCAGCTTCATCAGCTCTTAACTATGGTCATTCTATAGAACACTTAGAAAATGAGGATAAAAAAGTAATTGCAAAAACGTTACTGTAACATATTAATACCTGTCATTTTACAGCACTGTATAAATAATTTTAACAAATGTGACAACACACACATTCTAAAAAGCTATAGGAATGTGGCTGCATAGATCTACTTGCTGTTTATGAGATGTACCACTGCTAAAAAGAAAAAAAATCATTATTTTTCACAGAAAGAAAAAATTATTGAAAAATTTATTTTGAAAAGCTAATGAAAATCCTCAAATTATCTTTTGTGTTACGTAGCTTCAAACTGATAAATTCACAGCACAGGTTGTGTGCTGCAGTGACACAACATACACACAACTGTTGGAAGTTAGCAATGCACAACTGCAGAAGAGCCCAAACAAAAACACGTTCTGCCTAGGTTTCCATTAGTTCCCACTGCTATCTTTTATCTCAGGCATTTCTATATAAATTTGTGATAGTTTGAATGACTTCATTGAAGTTAATATGAGGCAGAAGATGTCCTGATGATAACATTCTACTGGAGCTTACTCCAAACAGAAAGGACAGGAAAGAAACCACATCCCAGGAAGGCACTTACAGGTAAAATTTGTCAGTTTTTCTCTCGTTTCCCAATTAGCACACTTTCACGCACAACCCAGATAACAATAAAAGCGTGGTTTCACGCAGTAATTCAGTAGCGTTGCAAGGTTATCAGAAGATTCAGGCTTATGAGAAAGCGACCAAGTGAGAACATATGTCCTATCAGTGATATTGCAAAAATCAGGTAATTCAAACAGAGGCAAGTTGTTTCCTTCCCTTCAAAGCACTGTTCTATAAATGTAAACTCTGTTCAGCAGCTTACAGCCTAGTAAATGAATCACTTTAATTGAATGCTATGTACACAGTAACTGGAAAAACACAAGCAATAAGAAAAACATATGGTGATGGCAATAGAAATTGGTTTACTCATTCCGTACAGTGTTATTTCTTTACTTCTTTCATAATTGACCTTTAGAATGATAAACGTGTAAAATAATTTTGGTTTTATGGTTCCAAACCTTTCAGCAATTACACAAAATGAAAATTTAAAAGGAAGTATTCATTCTGGAAGCATTTCCATTGTTTACATAATTGCACAGCTATAATTTAGCATTCATGTTGTTAAAGAAAAGTAAAAAAAGGACTATTATGGACTATTTCAATTCAAAATGATGCTCTGTAGTGTTAAAAATGGGGAGGAGGGGAGAAAAGGGGGCAATCACATGCATTTCCTTCTCAAATGCATTAACCCTATAAATGGCATAATATTTCAGTACAGGTTAATCTAGTAATCCAAATAATAAGGACATAAACATCCACTAAGTGAAAAAAAATTTTGTAAGTTCACTGAAAGGTCAATTACAAAAATATTCTTCACCTAATTTTTGTTCAACCTTTTGCCGATTACAGGTGTAACCAAATAGCATGCCATCTGCCTTCATCACGTTTCCAATTGTCCCTCAACAGGAACAACATGGATTTTTCACTTAAAGTTCACTCTGTTCTTCACTGAGAGATACCTCATTAGAGACCGAAATTTACAGCATGGGAAAGATTATTAATTTACACAAGACTTAACTGGTAAATCCTTCATTTTTTATTTTAAAGGAACAAACACTTTCATTTACTTATTCCAAGTTCTCCTAGCTATCATTACATTTAGGTAAGAGTTAACTTGTCAAAATTAAGTTCCAATAAAAATTTATGAAGTATTTTGACACAGGATTATCTTGTCAGAAAAATCTATTTCAACCTGTCATTTAAATCTAACTTCCCAAAAAAGTTACATTTGCTGAAGTATCTTGTGACTGGAATGCAGTAAGGAGAGAGATTAAAAACCAGAACAACACTGCATTTGTAAAACATGGATAAGGTTATTCAAAAGTGCTAAAGATGACAGATTACTGCATAAGTCACCTGCTGGTAATCGCTCATTCCCCTCTAAACTACATTAGAAAGCTCTCTTACAGTTGTATTAATAACAAAAAAACCCTTGTCCTGACAGAGTGGTGCTCAGATGCCCTACTAACAGAGATCAGACAAACGTATGAAGCAAACAGAATTTTTAAAGTTTCTCCCCTTTTAGAGTATGTTTGATATTTTCACAACATAGGAGACCACTGGGATTAAGGACACACTTCAGATTGGAAGAAATATTTTAAGCTCATGCACAACAAGAGGGAAATAACTGAACACCCATTTGCTACAGGTATAGAGGTACAAGTACCAAGAACACATTTACTAGTCCACGAAACGTCGAGATGACTGTGTCATCATACAGACTTCTCCCAAATGCCTATGGCAGGACTGCTTTGAAGTCTCTGCTTGTAAGAAATTAGTCTGGCAATGCTGAAGCACCTGTAGAACACGAGGTTACCCACTTAGAGGGGAGGTGATTTTAGGGAAGGGAAGGTGGGCACACCTCAGAAGACAGGAGAAGGAGCTCCCTGCAGTGCACCACAGGAAGGCAGGTCCTCCACCTTAGATGGCAATTAGCAGCACTCAACAATTTTCACTTTCACCTGTGTGCTGTATCAGTTTCCAAGATGGAGGAACACACACAAAGAATAAGGGATTGTTTTGCACATTTTTACTAGAACACCCCAAAAAATAGGCAATACACTAAGCCTTGATTGATTTACTTAAAATAGTCACTCTCAGAATTTATCATGTAACCTTGCTTAAAAGATAAAGATAACAGCTAAGCAAGACGTTGAAGTAAATCTGAAGCAGAGGTACACAACTGGACACAGGGAAAAGGAAGGATCCTGACGATGCAGCACAGCTGAAATAAACAGAGGGAAAGGGGGAAGTCAAGCTGAGAGCTAAGGATAATGGATGATGAAACACTGTTGCATTGCAGGGGCATGTTACTTCAGGAGATCCCAGAGCTACAACAATGACTGGAGAGGTGGAAGAAAAAGGTGTGAACAAAACAGAAGGAAAAGAGATGTTGCCTCTATTTCAAAAACTCTATTCCTATTCTGGACAGAGTTCAGAAAATCCTCACAAAGGAGCTTACGAGCAGCAGGCACTCCAGCAAGATACTGCTGGGCATACAGAAAGGACAGACAGAA